CTAATCTTGGATACATTTTCTAGACAGAAGCAACATCCAGATCAAGCTCCAGTCTATCGTCTATCTTCTGCTATCCATTTTTATGTTTTTACACATGAACAAACATTTTTATTTTTTACACATGAACCAAACACAAAGTGGAGAAGACTAAAACTTTTTCACCTAAGACTGAGACTTATTGCTCCATCCGGAGTAGAAAATCCATCTTTTTATAGTTTTTTTTATACAAGGTGTGTTGAGTAAAAGTCACCATTTGGATTCTTGCATATACGGTATTCATTCGAGAGGAGAATCCAGGGCAGACCCAGAACTCTATGGAAGAGATTGTAAATTCGTTTTGGCCCAGAAATGCTTTGGGATTCCCCATGAGGAGCTGAAATAAGTGAACCTTTCATTGACATTTCTTATTTATTGAGATGCATCTATACATCTCCTTTGTTTGACAAGAACACAATTAAGAATAAAGCAATTTTAAGAGTTATTACTCAGCAGACCTGTCCAACCCACTCTGTCACCCTGAGCTGTGCTGAGAGCTCCTGGAGCTGTGTCAACATCCCTGTTGACCGAGCTTCTTGCAGAGGCCACATCCGTGCCAAGGTCTCATTTTCACACGCCCTTGAGAGGATCAGGCTGCAGCAGCAGACCCTTTCCGCCTTTTCCCCTCATGAAGCTGCGACAAACCTTTCTGTTATGCTCTTTTTCTGCAGGAGTTGAAATGTGTGCCTTTGTGTTTAGTCTCATATCAGATCAACCTGAGATTAACGGATGCGTCCGGATAGGGGTTTGGCGGTTAAATTACCACCAGCCTCTCTCCACGTGGTGGTCCTAGCCTGTCACTAAAACGTGAACTCTTTATGAGAAGATGGCTAAATTATAGCAAATTACAGCAACACAGATGTGTAATTGTGACAACGCTTTGTTTAAACTTTAACATCCCCAGTCTGACTTGGGACGAGATGTGCGCAGAGGGATTCCAGAGTGATGTGGATTACTTCTTTTACTGATTCAATGTTTAGTAATAGTGTGTTTTCTCATGGGGTTTTAACCCTGTTAGTATATGTGTATGTCTGTTGAGCAGCTGCAGGAGCCAGCTCTGTTATCAGCGCTGAGTTTGTTTGCTCTCCAGCTGTCGGAGCTCCCGGATGCAGCGTGAACGGCCTCTTGGAGGGATTGTCTTCGTTGGCAGTGTTGCAGCTTTCTTCTTTTTCTTGTTCGGATTCTGTCATGCATGAAGCCACAATACGAGTTTTGTCCCGCAGCTCAGCGAGAGTACACTATTCATTGGGTTTTCAATGCAACACACACTCTGCCATTTATATTCAGCTGATGTCTCCCTCTTTCACTTTACAGACTTTTTTTTTTTTCTTGTTACAGGAGCTGCTTTTATTTTGTAGCTCTCCAACAGCTGGCTGTGGCAAAGTAATTCATATAAACTGAATCAGTAAAAGTAATCCTTGTTTACCCGATTTTGATCGCAACTACACTGTGTAGCGTAGCGGGATGGAAAAGTTTCAACTGTTTTGTTTTGTGCATTGACTCATTTTCATTAGCAGTTAACAAGTAGAGTCTAACTTGTAAATTTTTTATTTAGTAAATTTTTGTTTTAATTTTTTTTAAGTAATTACAGCTACATTAGTGAGGCATAACATGTTAATGTGGCTCATTAATTATGGCAGAAAAACCTCATAAATGAGGTAAATCATCACATTTGACAAGAACGAGCTGTGAAATGTTTGTCAAAAAATGTTTTCAAATCAATATAATACATTTCCTCATTAGAGGACAATGTATATATGCTCATACAATTTCCTTTTAAGGATTTTTCAAACCAGTTTCATGTATTTTCTATCCATATTGTGGATGGTTTGCTAAATTACAAAATATTTTAAAGATATAATATGCAGTTGTTGGCTCTAAATAGTTGTAAAAAATGTAAAGGAACAATTTACAATTTAATATGATAGCACCTTGAAATATTAAAAACATTTTGTTTGGTATTTATGATTATTTTAATTGTAATTTCAAGAAAAAACTAAGCCTGCAAAATGTTCCATGTAAAATTGTAACTGATAATCAATTTTATTAAAAAAAAGAACTTTGTACATACATATATACAAAACTTTACATGAAAGTAAAAATTTCAAAACTGTAAGATAAATGATGAAATAGTTGAATTTTACCTCATAATTTATGACATAACTTTCTGAAACCAAAATGAAGAAATTAGTTACAACATAAACAGATCAGCATCTATCCAGTTAAATGAGTGGGTGCAGGTGGAACGTCCTTAGGATGTCTTTTTTTTTTCTGGAGAAGTTAAATAACTGGGATACTTTCAACTGTTTTCCACCGTTAATGACAATGGTTCATTTTTATTTTCAAATCATATCCTTCTCTCCCAGTTTGACCTGCTTATAAGGCTTCCTGTTACGGAAGGCAGGCAAAAGCATGCAGAAACTGCCTGAAAGTTTTGCCTGATTTGATCTGTTCCCATAGTTATGCCACCCCAAACCAAAGCAGAACAGTAAAAATCTGAAACTTTAAAGAGTCAGAGACAGAAAAATGATCTTGTCTCTGGGTCTGATTGTCCCGTTGCTGCCGTCTGGGCCGAAAGTGGAAGTGTAAACAGCCATGAGGTCATAAGATAAGAGGGGAGGCAGAGTGAAGGTTGCATAGCTGAGCCAGGTGTATTTACACTCGCAGAGTAACCAGGACAACAGTTTAGGTGTTGCTGCTTGTAAATAACAGTTGTGCTAGGTGGGAGAGATATTCCCTGTTTTTCTTTGGTAGGTGTCAAAAAATGTTGAGTTTTACAACCTTCAGGAACTGAAAAGCAAATTTAATGAAACGCAGTATCCTAAAAGAAAAAGTTGAAACTACTTTCTGTTTACATATTCATCCAAGATTGGGTTTCTTGCAAATATTTACATGGAATACAAGTTTGTTCCCAATGTGTAGGCTCAACTCAACCAGTATTTGGGGTTTTGAGAGTTTTTTACTCGAAACCAAAATGTTGAGTTTTTACTGTGGGATTCCTGTAAAAATTTGTGTGTGTTTTCTGTTTCATAATCTTTCTGATGTTTTCACTTTGGTTTGGACTGAGTTAACAGCTGGACTCTTTTCAAACAAGAATAAGTGATAATATGCATCTGAATGCAAAGAGCAAGCCACACTGTTCAGATTTCCCTCCTACATCCTTTTTAAAACGTAGGTTTGAGGACGACATGCCTTCTGTGTCCACCCCGATGTTCCTCTCTTGTTTTCTATAGTTTGCTACTGTAGATTTCTTTCCATAATAAGACTCCCCAACTTCATGGAAAACAACAACCTGACCCATTCTTGACCAGTTTCTTGCAAATCAAATTTCTATGGCCCTCTCTGGTTAGTAAGTTGACATAATTACCTCCAAATTGGAGCAACCGTGGAGAACTGAATTTTTTTATTTTTTTTTATGATTGCACGCTATAATATTCAACTTCTAAAAGTGCGTAGGTTGAATTTCAAAATCGAACCACAAAAACAGCTCCTGTCTTGATCACCGTAATTCACCCGAAGCATTTTGCAAAAAATAATACTTGTACATTTCATTGCAAGACGATTTTTGCATTTTGTCACATAACAACCACAAACTTTTTATTGGGATTTTAAAAGGATCAGTTATTATGAAATTGTGAAGTGGTTTTCAAACTTTTATTTAAAATAATGAAAAAAAGTTGTGTAATTGTGCATATGAGTTTTATTCCTCTGAGTACAACAACTTTTTTTTGCATTTACAAGTCTTTGGAGGTATATCTTTAGTAGCTTTACACATCAGTAGGCGTATAAACAAAAATATGCTTTCAAAAAGCAGCTCTTAGCGCCAGATTTGCATTTTAAGTTGGATTTGGGTCTGGATTTTCTCTGGACCAACATAATATAATCTAAACCATTCAATTGTAGCTCTGATTGTATGTTAAAGATTGTTATCTTGCTTTCTGTCCCTTCTGGGAAAAAATAAAGCAATCCCAAAGCATGATGACACCACTGAGTTTTTCTCCTAAAAGTAGAATTTTGCATTTCCAACTGAGCTGTGGATCTCTCCAGTTCCTCCAGAGTTACAATGGGAGACACAGATCAGCCGAATTTTATCTTAAGATGTATACATCGGGGATGCCGAATAAAAATGCCGTCAAAATGTAAAACTGTGAAATGATTTTTAAAACTTACTTCCAATCAAAAACTATTTAGACTTCTCCCTCAGACCAATGTGTGTCCTTACAGTATGACCTGTCCACTGACAGCTGATGGATCTCAGCAACAACGTACCTCTGGGAGATTAAACCGCCGTGTTGCTTTGCCAACATGGGCATCAGAGAGGAACTAAAGCTTAGAAGTTGCCAAATCTGCATCACAGTTTGGATGGAGAGGCTGATTATGGCATAAGCTCTCCACACTGCCGGGGTCTGACAGTTCGTGTGAGAGAGGGCATTAACAAATATGATTTGAACTGATGTAACCAGAGGCTTGGGCTTAATCTGATATGTAATCCTCTTTTTTTTTTTCATGAGCTTTGATGTGTTGTGGGCTGGATGAAGGAGCGTCTGGGTTTTACCGTGGCGCAGGAGGAAGTATTTACACTGTGACGACTTGTTGGGAGTTCGGCTTCTGTAAACTCAAAGAGGTTGATCAGGAAGTGCAGCTTGTCGCAGTGAGGACAGCATTCACATGGGCTCCTGGGGATGTAGAAGGGGGGCAGGGGAGGCGCTATTTTTGTCTGTGGGACTGTAACATGAAGCATCGACCCCACGTCAGGATGTATAAATAACCTGGGTTTGCACAGGCGCAGTGTCTGTTTACATTCGGAGGTGATGGACCTCAAGTGCGTCATCATTACCTTTAGTCCCTCCAGCCAGGCCACTTCGTTCACCGAAGCTGCCCTGCACGTGAAGGTTATGACTTGTTTGACGTGAGGCACGTTCTGGGTTGTTCTCCTGACTCTCTTGTCGTTTCCTCTTTTGCAGCCTGACCAGTAACTGGCAATGGAGTACATGAACAACGCCTCGAACAGCTACGGTTCTGGAGACACCGTCAGTGCCTCCTTAACGAACATGACCATCAATGACCAGCATCACCAGGAGAACGGAGTCAAAATGAAAGGTCAGCCATCAGCAGCGGACAATGACACACACACACACACACACACACACACACACACACACACACAAGTCGCTAACCCTGAAAACATTTTTTTTAATGTTTATATATTTGTATATAAGGTGTATATATGTAAGTTTGTATGTTTAGAAATTAGCCTGAAGTCAACAAACCAAGTAACTTGTTCATCACCACCACACATTTGAAATCTCCGATAAATAACACACACATGACATGCACCTTCTTAAATGAACAATTGTGTTAGAAAAGCAATGGCTGCAAACAAACAGGAAACTGTTTATGATTTTGGGATAAGTGATATAAAAGAAACGGGAAAGTATCATGTAAGTTCAAGCAACTTTCCAGACTGTATGCATATTTGGGAAAGAAACCTGTGACTCCAGTTATGTTGGTGTTTATATGAATTTAGATTCTTAATTTATTAGAACACCATTAAAACTAACTAAAACTATTCAGTTACATGAATTCATTAAACATAATTCATGTTAATTTTATTTTAGCCATCATCATTTGATGAAATTATCAAAACTGTGGTAATAAAATCTAAATATCTTTGGATTAATATAATCTAAATATTTCTGGGAATAGTTTATCAACAAACAGTTTTTCATGCAAAGCCATAATAAACAAATGTAATAAAGATTTTAGATTTTTCTTTTATACGGTATTAACACATTCTTGTTAAGCAGGTGAATAATGGTGCAAAATGTGTTTAAATCTCCATTATTGTAAATTCACGACAGTAATAGTAATTAATTCCCTTTTAATGTGCTTTAACTAATCCCTTTACATGTTTTTGTTGTGCTTTCCAACTTTGACGCCCACAGGTTGCAGATTAATTCCTATTTTTTTCTTCATGTCGGAGCTTTGATCCCAGATTATTTTGGTAAAGACTGTAAATGTAGATTTGTGTGAGGGTACAGTGAGGGAGGGGCAGGGCCTGACTCCCCGACTTTCTGCCCTATTTTCGTCTTAATCTTTACACAATGGATTCAGTACATGATGGACTTCAGCTGGACTGGGTTCTGTAATCCGGGTATCTGGGTCAGACGTTCTTGAACGAGACCCGTGTTAGTCGTTTAAGTTGCTGCTCAAGCAATCAAGCATTTAGGGCTGCAGAGAAAACTGTTTCCTAATGTCAACAGCTTGTCTTCTTTTAAGTGCTGATGTGATGTACAGCACAGCTCTAAGACAAAACGTTTCAGCATCTCTTTATGGACGTATGAATGCAAAAACTGCCATTAAAGACTATTTATTGAGGGTGGATTTCAATATGTCTAACATTTTTTTCTATTTCTTAATTTTTTTTCTGTCAGCTGTCTTATTTGATGGTACACCATAAAGATGCTAATAAATTTGTTAAACATGTCTTCTGTTGGAGTAGCATTACCTCAAACTGAAATATTTAGAAAATTGCAACTAATTGCAATCAAAGTGGAACTTCTAATTACTTTTTCATGACTGTTTTCATGCATATAAATATGCGGTGACACAAATGTCTAAATAGGACGGAATGATAAGAATAAAGATGAGATTTTTAGTAACACACATATTCCAGTTGGGTTTGGGGGGGGGAGAGGAAATGTGGAAACAGCACCTTGTTTTGATTGTTAAGCATAGTGATGGATCTGTGATGCTGTGGGCTCACAGAATAAACAGACTCAAATTAATGGTTAGATTTTAAAAGGTTTTCTCTGTTAGATGGTTCTGTAATAAAAGATTTATACATGTTCAGATCTTAATCTGCTGATAATTATTTATATCTTTAATTCTAACATACATTTTATTTCAGCCAATATTAATCTGTTTCATACTCATCAGCAATATGTTTTTTTTTTTTCGTTTTTTTTTATTTAATTAGAAGCTAGCTTCCATTTTCTATTTCAGCTCTAGATTTTATTACTTCAAAAATAAATTTTTCAGTTTTCAGCTCAGGGTGTAACGGTCTTACTACCACCTTGTCTTGGCGGAGCGGGCTTGCTTTGTATGATAAATTGTAATTATGGTTATAATTTCTGTTCATCAAATCAAAATAGCAAAATTCATTGCGTTGCTGTCATGTTGTCACTATTTGTGTTGAATTCCCTCCTAAGTGTGACTTGAGTTTGCAAAACGAAAGTCGCAGAAAAAAAAAATATCGGTCTGTTATTTTATCCATCTTGGGTTGATTGTTTACATTGCTGATAATAATCAGTTTTAAATCCATCAGAAGTGTTTTTTTTTTCCCCCACCTGTTTTTATCCCATTGTACCACGTGGCTACTTAGTACGTAGCCTAGCTTTTCCCAGTTTACAGCCCTCACTAGTGCAGTCGTTATATCCATTTCCAATTCCCATTATCCCGTGTACTAACAGGACACAGCCAACAGAGTCACGTTCGTCTGCAAAGCTAAACGGCTTATCAGTAAGAAGTGAAACACAAAGTGAGTATCTAATCAACACATTTAAGTAAGAGATGTAGAGTCTGTACAGTGTAAAGTGTGAAGTTAGGCTGTAGTGGTTAGTCTGTAGAGTCCCTATCAATACTACAACCTTTTTGTCTTAAGGCAAATAAACAAAACAAAACAATATATCAAAATAACAATTTACCAATTTCAAGACCAAGATGCTGTAAATCATTTGGTTCCAAGATTTAGAAATGAATTGTTTACCTTCAATTTTATTTAATTTTTTTGTGGAATTACCTTCATTATAAATTCTTAATGTAAATTACAAATATCTGAAAGTTGTTGTTTTTTTTTTGTCCAGTTTACCATCCAGTAATTTCATTTTACTTTTCCCCCTTTCAGAACTTGTGAAATTTCTCCAGATATTAAACATATTACTATAGCAGGCTTATATCCTATCTTTACATTGAAAAGGATTTGGAAGTCTTTTTACTTATTTATTTATTTACTTCAAACATCATTAGATTAATCTTCACTTACTGTTGAGTGCTGATTTATTTTTTTAATCTTTATTTATTGAAAAATAATTGCAAATGTCTGACTTTAATATATTTTTCCCCTACATTTCCAATTTACTTTAATATAAAAAAAACTCATTAATTACTTGTTTATTACAGATATCCTGAAAATGGACAGTTTACATTTACTATCTGAAAATCTTCTTAATTTAATAGAGTCAACTGTAACCTACTGTCCTGTAATTTTAACTTATCTTGATAACATAAAGAAAAAGATGTCAGGCAAATATTCTTTATCTTTTTTACCCATGAAAACAAATCAAAAACAGACAACAGCTGAGTTTAGCTAAAAGTCGTGTCTTTATAAACTTTGATCTAAATATTTGACTCTTTGTGTTAATATTTCTAAAGTTCTCCTTCACAGCTACAGTTCTGAGAGTGCTTTTTTTTTTTTTTTTTTTTAATAAACTTTGATTTCGATTTCCAGATGAAGAAGCAGTGGTCACTGAAAATGGGCTGAAAACTGTGTGTGAACTTTCTCAGCCAGAGAGCAACCAATACGATGACGAGTTGCATCCTGGTACGAACGCCCGAAAAACGATTCCCGATCCTGACGTTTGAAAAGCTGCTTTCAACTCCCATTTCTGCTTGGTTTACTTTGTGCTCAACTTATCCCTCAACTCCTTTTTCCTTTTACAGAGAGACACTAGCTGTGTTTCGTTTCAGTCTCCCAAATGCAACCCACACTAATGGACATTTTTTGTTTTCCTGCTTTAAATCTGCTCTGCTGTTCTGCTGCTGTAAGACGTTGTAATTGCATGTAGTCACCCTGTCAGGAGCCACTGTGACAGAAAATAGGGGCTTTCTGTGCTTGTCAGAAACAAGCGCTAAAACGTCATTCCTTCCTGGGGCCAGCATGCTTTGATCGCAAATACAGAGAGCGAAAGCTTCCCCAAAACAAAGAGACTGGAAAGGTTATGAAGAGGACTCTTAGCGCAGACAGAGGACAATTCTACGCTTGTTACAGAAAATCCCAGATAAATCTGCTTAGTAAATTTGAAAACTGACTTTTAATTTTATCTTGCATCAGCTACTCCTGCAGAGAAAGGAGCAGAAGTTGATTCTGAGCTCTCAGACAAGCAAGTTGGTGTGCCCCTCTTCTGCTTTTCAGCTTCCCGTGCTTCCATCGGTTTTTACAGCTTTGCCAAAAAGTTGTTTGAATTCTAGATAAAACTAGAATTTAGTTTTAATAAGAATATGATTCTGGTTTACCGAGATGTATGTTAGCCTGTTAGCAGCCAGTGATTAGCACTTTTTCGGCTAGCTGCAAAATAACATTTTTGTGTGTTTTTTTGAAGGACACCTAAAAAGGAGATGATGAAAATCATTTCTCTGAAATTAAACATTAAATCTCAGTTTATTTTATTGTCCTGAGTTGGGTAAACTTACTTTTAACAATAATTGTACATCTACAATTATTGTTGTAGATGTACAGTTACATCAACAGAAATGTAGATGTAATTGTACATCTACATTGTTGTAGATGTACAACAATGTACATCTACAACAATAGATGTACATTGTTGTACATCTATTGTCAAATAGTCAAAGAAAGTCAAATAGAAATACAGGCACACAACCAAACTAGAAAGTGGCTTTATTTCTTTTTCTCTTTTTTTCCAAAACAAGAGGGATTACTTTAACATGATTGAATGAATTCTTGTATTTCTCAAGTTATCAGACACTTTAATTTCTATATCCAAAGTTACTGGCTGATCTTTTTTGTGTGTGTGTGTGTGTGTGTGACATGTATAAAAAAATCTGGTTTATTTCAGTTGTATAACCGAAACATGTATTTTTTATTCTTTTGGCTTTTCACTTTCTTGCTTTGGCGTGGTTTCTTTCTAATGCTAGCTGTCGGACGCTGCTTTATAAAGAACAGCAACCCAATCCTCACACTGAAATAGCAAAGAAGTCCTTTTTTTAATCTAGCCGCACATGATGGTTATTCTAGACTGAAAGAAGTGGTCGGACCACGTGCAGACCGGAGACTTGCGTAATTTGGCGCAAGATACGCGGCTCTGCGTTGTGGTAAAGGCCGCACTAACATTAAGCAGCTGAAACACCGGCTAACATGGTCCATATGCAAGCTATGTGTGTGTAGAAACCCGCTGTGCTTGTTTTGCTGTTGTGCTCTTGCTTATTTCCCCTTATGCCTTTGAATTTTTCATTACTGTGACTGACAGGTATTGGCTACGGGCTTTCTGCACTGATTGAAGACGCGCTGTTTGCAGGCTTATTGATTTCTTTGCGATGAGTGAGTGCGTTAATCGGTCTTGAACAGGAAAAACACATTACTGACTGAGCTCTCGTGTCTTTTCCATTTGTCTCACGCCGGTCAACGACCAGCAGGAGGAGCCTCTTCAACAGGTAGGCTGCTACATCTCTCATTGATTCCACTTAGAAATCATTTAGTTACTGCAGAAGACAGATATAAGTACACTTACAACACCAGCTGTGCAAGAAAGCAGCCCGAAGGGATTGAAAGGTCTTGGCGGGATTTTCAAGCAGGTTGTAAAGATTGTGTTGTTTATTGAACACAACAAATTAAAATGAATGCATAATAAACATAAGTATTTTTAAGTTTTAAATATAATTCTGCTTATGTTTTTGCGCTCTGGATTTTGTTTATTTTGTATTTTTTAATATTTTAATTTTCAGTTTTTGGATGAAAGGATTTGTAAAAATGTTTTTGTCAAAGCAATAAGGATTCGTTTTTTAATGCTAAAATTACTGTCATTTATTTGTGGTTATTTGTATAACCATAAAAAAAATGTTTAATCTATTAAAAGGGAGGATTTTATTTGCATGTACACATTTCCACCAAAGAGGACAGTTTTTTTTATTTGTTTGTTTTTTTTTTTACATCAGTGTCAGAATTTTAGAAGCATATTTATTGATTGTATTAATTTTAGGCAACTGAAATTTTATTGTTAAATGGTTCATTTTTCAATATAAGTTATCAGAATGCTTATAACGTTTCCTTTTTATCTGTGTTAAGCCTTGAAGCTCACAGTGGTTCTTATCTATTACTGTGTCCAAAATTTGAGGAATAACACGACATTTGCCTTCAAGCTAATGTGACCCACATGGTGGTTGAGCAGGAAATATCAAGATGGCACGTATAGCTGGATGTTTTGCTTCATTTGTCTGTGCTGAAACACAGAAATAATGATGTTGCTCAAGCTAATTTGACTATTCACTTTTTTCTCTATCTTACTTAACAAACTTTATGCTCACAAACATCTTCCACATTTCCTAATGCAAATATGTGTCCAACAGTGCAGTAGAAACTTTTTGTGATGCCTGGGGAGAAATCCACCCTCTCCCTGCCTGTGTTTACTTTTGTGAAGCTCACCAACGTTTCCCGTATGGATTATTTTTGTAGTAAAACATAATTTTTTTGTGTGTGCAAAACAAGAAATAACCACACATCACATACTGTCATTGTAAGTGTTTTCATTTGTCAGGAGAAGTTAGTTTTTACAGACATGGAGTTTTGACTGGCTTCAAAATGTTGCATTAAAAATACGAGCTCATCATCCCATTTCAGCTGTTAAGACTCATAAGACACTTTTTGAAAAGTACATTTTAAACGTCCTTATCTGCTAACAAAAAAACAATAGAAAACTGATTAGAATTTGTTTTTTATGTTGTATTTCAGGTCTAAAATATGCACATTAACCGGCATTCAAGTGCAAGAGTCAGACGATAAAACAACTTTCAATAAAAACTGTTTTACAGTCTAATGACATTCAAACATTAGTATGTTTTAAGCAAAAAAAAAAAATGCTTTTTTTTCTAATCAAAATATGACATTCACATGACCTTGCACAAGATTAGCATGTCTGTCTGCAAGTTTAGTAGCTCGGTTAGTTGACCTGCTAACAGTAACAATGTAGGCTCCAACATTGAATTTAAAATGTCTTGAATAATTTTGTTTCTTTATATTTCATCACACACATGTGTTTAGACACCATTATGTATCTTCAAACACCTTGTATCATTTGTTTTTCACTTCACTTCCCCACTGGATTGCATTAATGGACAACTTGTGATGCCATTTTGCAAGCAGTAGTGACAGTAGTGGCGCTTTTGTGCTTCAGACCTTTTTCTGGAATGCAACATCTTTTGTCATTCAAGTGTTGTGTGTTACTGCCTCACTTTGTTTAAAATTTCATCTTTCAGTTCTCATTTTAAGTTTTTGTTGTGTTTCCTCTGTGATCTCATATTTTCCCCTTTTTCCACATGTCATTTTTGTTTTATGGGGAGGTGGAAAACAAGTGCTGTAAATGTTTTTTTTTGTTGTTGTTTTTTGTTTGTTTGGTTTTTTTTACATGGTTTTCAAGCCAAATTATTGAGGCCTGCTAATGGTGAGTTTTCTCCAGCTGAGCATGGAGCTGCTGAGAAAGTCATTGACTTCACGGACGCTTCCTCTTCCCCCAGACCCAGGAAAAAAGTCGGTGGGAGAGTGTGGGAAGAGGTTAAGTGAGCCTTTATGGGCCTCTGAAGATCTCAGCTGCAGGTCAGAGATGAGGCAGGACATAGAGGCCAGCAGGGGGAGCCCTGAGTGGACTGCAGCTGCTGATTCTCAGAGGACAGTAAGCCTTGACGCATCCGAGCACCTGGTGAAAATGAACGACACGCCTGCGATGTTTTTAGTCCGCAGCGCAGCTTTGGAGGACCTGACAGCCATCGAAGACAGAAGCCTGTGGGGTAACCAGGAGGAGGAGCAGATAAAAGACGGACTGCCTGTCGAAAGAGCTGAAACAACGTGTCACAGTGCCTCTAGAAGCAAAAATATCCCTTCAGAAACAAAGCAAAGTCCCCAGAAACAAAGGCTGTCAGAATCTGGCTTCGATTCACATTCAGAAAAACTCCCTCCAACACACATCACTGGGAGCGTTTCTGGGAATCGTCGTCCCTTCACCAAACCGCCATGTGACGCAGAGGCTGAAAACAGCAGTGAGTCATCATCGCCACACAGGGCCAGCGATTCAAAGCCTGACATTTCCAATGACTTACAGAAGAGCAGTGTTGCTCAAGCCTCCTCCCAGCTCCAGAAATGTCCCTGTCCAAGCCCTGCAGCCAGAAGGTCTCTGGTGCCGGTCGCTGTTTTCAAAGGTCTGTTTTGCTGTCACGTTCACCAGCTCAGAACCAGCCCTGCTTCAGTTGACTCCTTCCACATGTTTGATTTACAAATGCAGCTTCGCCTCTCTGTTATGCAGCACTGTTTCTCCAAATTATTTCCAAGGACGTTACCTTTAAGCTGAAGAGCTTGTTGTCCCCCGTCCCCACCCCAGGTCCCACCAACCCCACACTTCTGCTTTCTGTTTCCATCTCTGCCCACCCAGCTGGTCCTGCAGCCCAAAACAGACACGTTCTGCTTGTAAACACGTGTTTTATTTCACTCTGCATGCTGCATACCCAACACGTCTTATTTCATGTTGTGCATTTTCATTCGTTAGCCATAATAGTGGTTTTTGACGAAGACTTGGAGGGAAATGTGTTGACTTATTTCACCTGGAAGAATAGGAAGCCGAAACTAAACCCATGGGATAAATTTGACTTTTGTCTTCTTTTGTAGCTCAAGTAAGGACAAATAATGGAGACAAGGTATGTGACCAAGAGCGTCATTTGTTTGAAATATGTAAAATATTATTATGAAAGGATAATTCTGGTGTATAAAAACCTTTCAGAGTTATTGTTTCTTTTGAGTTGAGGTGTTCAGTCGTCTTTCAGAGCGCCACCTGTTGGAGGTTTCCCAAATAAGTCTTACTGATTACTTTTTTTGTCCCAGTAACATCCATTATCAGCACTACATTAAGTAGTCATAATATAACCCATCCCACTTTTAATCCACTGGGTTTATTCCGATGTTGGGTCACTTTGCAACCCAAACAGCTTCAACTCATTTAGGAAGACTTTCCACGAGGTCAGACACTGACGCTGGACGAGAAGGTTTGTTCTATCAGGTCCAGATTCTGCCACGTTCTGTGACCAGTTTAGTACACCAGAATTATTCTTAGACAATGAAATCCATACATCTTTTTTTTTTTTTTTTTTTTTCCATCCTTGAGTTGTTAAATCATTCTTTCATTTTATGTTTGGTATCATTTGAGTTTTTTTGTTTTTCATTCATTTCTTTCCTTCCCATGACAAAGAGTCAAACTGTCACCACACCACCCTCTTACCTTAAAAGACCCACTGTTGTCGCCAAGGGCAACAGAACACCCGGTTCCTCCCGAAACGGCCACAGCTCCATCCCCATTAAAGCCACCACCAGCCCAGGGCCCCGGCAGCCCGGAGTAAGTACCGGTCTGACAGATTACGGGTCAGGGTTCTGAACCGGATGGAAAGAAAAAAAAAAAAAACATTCTTCCATCAGCCTGAAGGTTTTCTATCATGACAAGTCATCGTTTTTTTTTTTTTTATCTTTATCATTTTTAACATTTTATGTGAACGCCATGCCCAAACAAACCAGACTTTCCTTTAAGTTGACTTTTTTATTTTTATTTTTTTTTTTAAAAGAACACTTCAACTTTTCTCCCTCGTGGAAACTAACCTGCTGTTATGCCGATTCTTTATTTTTTTAGGGTGCTGGTGCTGCAAAGCCTCAAGTCCAAGGAGCCAAAACTACTGCCAGAAGTGCAGCTCAACCAGGTAAGAAACTGGGAAAAGCGCAGTTCATTTTATTTCATTTTCTGTACTTAAGTTTAAAGATTTAAGAATGTGTTATTATTTGTGACACAGCTAGTGCCAAGAAACCCCCCACTCCAAAAAATGAAAAAGGTAACCTAAATCAGCAAATGGTTGGAGATTGCCTCTTTGCATGGCCCAAATAATAATAATAATAATAATAATAATAAAATAAAACACAGTCTGATCTGATGGATCAAACTTGGTCAGCTTTTAGCCAGTAGTGGCTTCTAGTTAGTGTTTACTTGATTCGTTTACCCTCAACCATTTATCCTCCACGGTTGTTTAAAACCAACTCAACTCACGTCTGATTTGCTTCGTTGTTTCAGATGCCAGGAGTGGGCAGAGCAGCCCCGGTACACCCAAGTCCCCCGGCAGCCAGGCACTTTCCGCCGCCGAGGCCAACAAAGTGAAAAAGGTCGCGGTTGTACGTTCCAATCCGAAATCTCCGGGATCGCTGAAGAGCCGTTCTCCGGCTCCTCTGGCTGCTGCGGCGCCGCTGCCTGACCTGAAAAACGTCAGGTCAAAGGTCGGCTCCACAGACAACTTGAAACACCAGCCTGGCGGTGGGAAGGTAACTGACAACAAACTCGCTACACCTGTTGGGACATCTCAACCTTTCTTTTTTTAATTAAAGATTCGGTTAGCGGTTTTCTCTACACCTAGCTAACACATGGCTTCAGCCGTTTTCTGAATAAGTTGATAGAAATAAACAGTACTCATCTAGTGTAGTAGTCCTCAACCTCGGTCCTCAGGCCTCTCTGTCCTACGTGCTTTAGATGTGTTTCTGTTTGCATGACCTACTCTGCATGCTGTGAAGCGCCGCTGCAGCATTTCAATCACCCAGTTATTTAAATCAGGTGAGAGGCAGCAAGGAGACACAGAGGACCAGGGTTAGGACACGTTACTGTAGTTGACTCAGTAGTCATACTTAGAATGTTTCCTCCTTGTTTTGTTATTTACAGCTGAAACAAGATATTTATGTATACTGTTAAAAAAAAAAAAAAGATTTTTTTTTCCTCCCTCTCTATCTGATATTCAACCTTAATAAACAATTTTGGTTTTAATCTGTTTTTGGAGCACATCTCCAAAAATTAAGACTTTTGTCCCCAAGAGGATTTGCTAACTCGGTTGGTATGTTGCTTTTGGAGTGTTGCCTTCTTCTTCTTTGAGTCGCTTCTAAGAACATGTTGATACAAGAGTTTTTCCATGTATTATTTAGTATTAAAGTAATGAATAAATAACAAAAAACCCTCAATATATTCTGGTATTAAGCAAATAGAAACAATATCCTTAATAATTCTTGCTGAATTAAATTAGGAAAAGTCAAATCAGATTTAATGTCAGTCAGTGAGGAAGACGTGCGTCTCTTTATGCTGCGCAAGTAAATGTCTGGTTTCAGGTCTATCAAAAATAAGCTGACATCAAAGGAAAGCTGTCAGTTTCTTGTGTATTGCAGGTTTTGCAACCTTGGCTTATTTTATTAGAGCTGCGTTGAACAAAACAGGCAACAAGAAATGTGATCAGTAGGGCAAAGTACATTCACTTACATTCAATTTTGACAGTGGCACACACTGATAAAGCCTTTACAGAGAGCAACTGCAGCTGCATGTGAAAACACTATTTCACTCTGCTTTTCTTCCAAAATGCTATTTTGGAAGAAGTAATGCATTTTGCATGAGCTCTTGCCGCAGCAATAGTAATTTTTCATGCAGTATGTGTCAGATTTTTTTTTTTTTTTTTTTTTTACGTGTATTAATTCAAAGGCTTTTGCTTTAATGTTTTGTCCTTGTGAATAGTTTTGGTTCTTTGAAATCGGATTTTGTTTGTCAGATTTAAATTAAAATCAGTCTGTTTTTCTGCTTTAAAAGTAAACATATTTGTGGAAATTTGCTTACATTTCCGTTTCTCATTTTAACACTCAGCACACCCAGATAGTTGGTGTATGAATATGTGTCTGCTTTGTAAGATTGATATAGATAAGGAGGCTTATTTTGGAAACAAAGGTGCTCCAAGCCTTTGGTCTAATTTTATGCTGGCTCAGTCACATGTCAGGTTCTCACTGATGAAATTAAAAGCATTACATGGACAGCTTTTAGCCAGCAGTTAGCACTACTGGAAGCTAACTAGAAACTAGCTTCCAGTAGTTAGCACTACTGGAAGCTAACTAGAAGCTAGTTTCTAGTTAGCTATTTTGGTTCTATTTTTGCAGAACCAAAATAGATCTTATTTAATCAGTTTAATCTATAGAACAACTTACTGTTTTAAAACATTTGGAAATCTTTCAGCCTTAAATTCAGTTCTGCTTTTGGACGTTTGTAGCACTTAAAGCTAACCGATTCTCCGGCCTGCATGCGGCTGCACGGATTCCTGCTGCTCAATGTGACGTCCGTTTCGGCTCATATCTTAAGTTGGTTTCTTTTGCTCTCCATCTAAAAGCTGCCGTTTTCATTTTTCCAGGTGCAAATCGTGGAGCAGAAGTTGGACTTTAGTAGTGTGCAGTCTAAGTGTGGCTCCAAAGACAATGTCAAACACAAGCCAGGGGGAGGAAATGTGAGTAACTGGGAGATGAACTCAAAGCCCTTGAGTTTGTCTGCAGTTATGACAATTAAATCCAACCTTTTGGATGATTAGGTAGTTGAAAAATTCTAAGTTTAAAAATGAAAGGTTAAGCTCCTAATAGCAGGAATTTGTAGAGTGAAATTAAATTTATCATTTAGGTTTTTGCACCAATAAAATTTGAGGTCTAAAATGAGAATTAGAATAAATTAAAGCTGGCATTTGTAACTGTTTTGTAGCATTTTACTTTAACCAAACAGAGTAAAACGTTTTGGCTTTAAAATCATATCTTTTGTAAAATATTGTTGGTGTATTATGCTGTAAATTTGGCTGTAAAATTGTATCTAGAACCTCGGATGTTAACCCTGTCGTAAAGTGCCAGATGGCTGGAAGTTATACCCCAGATTATATTAAAGAACGCCACATTTTTACATTTTCACGATACTTTGATTTTTTGCTGATTTTAGGTTAATGGTTGATTCGTGCACGACTTCAAAAGTATTAACACCTATTGAGTGATATTTTTATTTCGTTTAAATTTTGCCACATAACAATTTTGAAGACAGACTTGGTGCTTAATTGTAAATAGGAGGGAAATGACACTTGCTTTCTTTTTTTAAATCAGTAAAAAATCTGAAAAGTGTGGCATGCACTTAGCCTTTTTACTCCAGTGCAACGAATCGCCTTCACGAGTTGCCGTAACAATGTTACACAGTTCCTAAGGCAACTTGAGTAAGTAAAACAAAAATGCAAAGCTATGAATGGCAGCTGTAATACAAGGAGTCCAATTATTCCTAATTCAAAATGATTCCTCTTCCTCTTCAGCTATTCTTCCTCTGCAGATCCTCTTACCTGCCCTTTGTTGTTCTTCAGGTCCAAATCCTCGATAAGAAGCTGGACTTATCCAACGTCCAAGCTCGCTGTGGTTCTAAAGACAACTTAAAGCACAAGCCTGGAGGAGGAAGGGTAGGAAAACCATTTCACTTTTATATCTCTGGCTTCTGTAAAGAGTTTCAGGATGTGTTGCAGCCACACGTGTGGCTCCTTTTGAAATTCTGTCTATCTGTATTTACACTTCAGAGACGTTACTGTGTCAAAACCAATCACGTCGAGTCGTTTTTTATTATTATTATTATTATTATTATTTTGAAATAAATACAAGGCAGCTACTTTCAGTGATTCTGACAATAACAGCCTCTTCCCCTCACTTCTGCACTTTTCCAGGTTAAAATACTTGATCAGAAGTTGGACTTTAGTACTGTCCAGTCTAAGTGTGGCTCCAAAGACAATATAAAACATGCTCCCGGTGGAGGCAACGTGAGTAGGGATGAACCCAACACCGTCCTCAGCAGTTCTCCAACAAATCGATCCAACAAATCCTCTCAGTGATCCAGTCAGGACACAAACAGGGAACTCTGTGACTAACCAGCATTTTTATTCACTTTAAAAAAAAATAAAAAATTCTAATATCTTTGTTTTACCAGAATGATTTTTTTCAAAGGATAAAATGTATCTTCAAAACAGTATCATTATGGTCATTCCCTGAAAACATCAGATGTTTGACAAATTTTTTTATTTTTTTTCCTTAGTGAATTGAAAGCCTCTGAAATCTTTAAAAAGATAACTTTGGCTCCAATGCCAAACTAACACCAACACCAACACATGTCATTTAACCGTTTATACCTGTAAGCCCTTTAGATATGATTTTCTTAGTCAACTGGATTAGCCTGAACTCCCCTGAACTCCACAGTTTTCTCCTCAGAAACTCTCCTCAGTGTCATTTCTCTTTCTGCAAGATAACATTATGTTTTTCCCTCCACAAAAAAAAAAACAAAAAAAACTATCCAGGTGCAAATTCTTGATAAGAAGCTGGACTTAAGCAGCGTGCAGTCCCGCTGTGGCTCCAAAGACAATATAAAACATGTACCCGGCGGTGGCAATGTGAGTAAAACACGGCTGCAGGTGTGCTAAATGCATCCCGAAGAAGAAGAAGGATTGCACGAAACCTCCAGTCTGTGTCCAACCCGTTCTGACCTCGACACTCCTGCCACTTTGACCTCTTAACTCCTGCAAATAACAGTTTGGTCCCGGAACTTATGAGCAGTCATGAGCATTTTACCCTGCAGACCTTCCCTCCTCCATGCCTTCTCTTGTAATCAGTTGCTACGAAGTGATTTTTGTCGGTTTTGCAGACCAGTTTGGTGAATAAAATGCTCATGGTGTAACATAAGCTCGATAACTGTTGAATGTGTCCGTTTGACTGCGACCAACCATCCAAACTGGGGCCTTAACCTGCATGCGTGAATCCAGTGTGTCCTGGGTGGTTCTTCCTCCAAACTTTTTTTTTTTTTTTTTACTAAAATTGAGTTGGAAACGTCTGAATGAAATGAACTAATTGTGCAGCAGGAGCTACAAAGAGCGTCTGTCCTCGCTCTCCTCTCCAAGCTTAGCCTGTTGTCCTCGACCTCACGGAGGAAAAGACTGAGCGCTTTGTGTTGCCGCACAATCGACCGTAAGATGAGGTCACTTCAGGCCAGCGCTGCGATGCACAGATGAGGACCGTGGCTTTTATCTTCAAATGACAAAAGTGCAACGTGAACGCAGAGTTTAAAATGAGCATAAACGTTAAGGCCATGTATCATCATTTTTACAATGACTTCTAGTCATTTCCATGACTGAAAAAAAAAAGAATATGTAAAAAAAAAAACTTAAACAGAGCTTCTTGTGGTATTAGATAGATTTTTAAAGTAAAAAAAGAAAAAAGAGTGAATCAGGGAGGTTGGTTCATTTGGGTAAATACTGAAGACAAAGAAACAATCTGCAAAGTCTGCAGTTCAGATGTGAGACCATAATATGAATATTGAGGGGAGAAAAGAAAACATATTTATTGATTAAACCTGATCTGTATACGTCGTCTTTCCACTGACACGGTTTGTTCTTTCCCTCAAATCTAAGTTTGTAAATGTTCCGATAGTTTTGGAGCAAAACATGTTTCCAAAGGAGACAGTTTTGGTGGACATTATAGCGTAAAAGGCTGATGTTTAAATTATTTATACTTCATAGCTCTTCCTGTTATACTTATCTGCTTTGAAAACCGTGGAAAAATGACTGTGTTTTATAAATATTTCAGTTTTCAGCCTCTGAAATCTGATGATACATGCATTTTAACCTTGGCCATTTTTTTAGTTCAGTACTAACACTGGATTTAATAGTAGTCTGCTCTCTAATATACTGTTTTATTGACCAATTTTTACCTTCTTGGAAACAAGCTAAGACCTATAAAATGCTACAGTTTAAAGTGACGTGATGTTTCAGTTTTGGTTAAATCTGTTCTTCTGCTCTCTGTTTTGTTTCTTCTGTAGGTTCAAATCGTGCACAAAAAGATTGACTTGAGCAACGTTACATCAAAATGTGGATCGAAAGACAACATTCATCACAAGCCAGGTAAATGTTTAAAAGTGAAAAATGCTCATTATTTCCAGAAAGACTTGCTTTGAATGGGTGTTTTGGGGATTTTCTTTTTCTTTGATTTTTTTTTTACTGTCAGTTTGGTGAGGTCTGGTGTTGAACTTCTGTAATTCATTAACTGTACTGGGTTTCTTTTAAGGTGGTGGCAATGTGGAGATCAAAACCGAGAAGCTAGAGTTTAAAGTTCAGTCCAAAGTCGGCTCCCTGGGCAACATCGGTCACGTCCCCGGAGGTGGACAGAGGAAGGTAGAAATGTCTCATCCTTCCTGCAGTTGAAGATCTCTGCGTGTCTCTTCCTTCTTCAAGATTTAAGAAAAAACAAAAACATGTTTAGTGTGTAAAACGGCCCAGAGCCAACTTTTCAGCTGGTGGTTCGAACTTTTGCTTTATTATTGATTTCTAATTTTGCCCTGGGTTTTGTCTCTCAGGTGAGCATAAATTAGAGTTAAAAAGATAACAACAACTATGGTGTAAAGCAAAACTACAGTGCATTAAAATAGATTAAAAAAAATAACATTTAGTATTACCTTTCTGCCTTTTTAAATAATATGACAGATTTTCCATTAGTTAAGCAACATTTATTGATTGGGGAAGATACAGACTAGAATATAACATACATTTGGATAGATTAGTAGAATGTTGGCAAAGCTGTTTTTTAATTTTTTATTGTTTAAATCAGCTATGAAGAGGAGATTACTGAAAAGGAGATAAAGTTCTGGTTCTGGTTGTATTCAGTCCCTTTCTTTATTGAAACCTCTAATGGGTTTAAACCCAACCAGCAGATTTCTGCAGCGTATCGACAGCACATCTGTTTCTCATCACCACTTCCCTCCTCCACCCCATTAGAGCTTCTTTCATTGTATTTCCTCCATTTTTTAAAATATAATTTCATAACAAAGTTCTCATTATTTGCATTATTATTGGTCAAATATTGTGTTGTGTTTCTTTTTCTACTTCTTCTTCTTATTGTTTCCGTTGAAACCATCCCATTTGTTTTTGTTGCATGCGTTGTCATTCCTCCCCGCCGGGGCTCCTTCTGTGTAGCGGGAGAAGGGCAAGGACGCGGAGGGGAGTGTCTCAGACAGCATGTCCATCCCCTCCCCTGTTGTCACCCCCCCTCAGTCACCTCAGACTGTCCCTTCAGCACCTACCACACCCATCCTGACGAACCCTCTCATAAAGATTGAGGACTCGCGTAAGTATGTGCGCGAGCTGCAGGATTTCACAGAGAAAACGAGTTTCTTCTGAAACCCGAGCTGTTTGGGTTTCAACGTCGTCGACACGCCGCGTCGATGTAAATGCACTTTGTAGTTTAGGGTTTTATGTTGTTAAAAATGTTTCCAGAGATTCTTTCACATGCAAAGCAACATGCTTCCCAGGTTGTTAAAACAAGAAATGTAAAAAGTGTTGAACAATATTTAGGACTACAACATGTGAAAACATGACATAATTCATAAAATTAAGTTAAATGAAAAGGAAAAAAAAAACATTTATTTAATTATTATCGTGGAAAAATAAAGTCTAAATTTTTGAGGGATGACTGCACTTGTGCATGTTGTCCAGCAGAGGGAGTGCTGTAGCTTGTCCCACTTCTTCAGGCCTTCTTTACTCTGAAAATGAAATTTGTAAATTTACAATAACATATTTTTCAATAAAAAAAATGTAATAATTATTACGTTAAAAATTATTTATCCCCCTCTCCCCTTGTATTGTGGTTGTCTTGCTACAGTCACAAACTTCAGTGTATTTTATTGGGATTTAATCTTCTGAACCAACACAAAGTGGCACATACCTGAAGAAGTGGAAGGAAAATAATTCATTGTTTCCAAACTAAGTTGATACTTTGAAAAACCCACCTTTGTCTTAGTTTCCAGTCTTCTGCGGTCCACCAGCTCTGCATGTTTACTTACTCTTTCCAAAATAGCCTAAGCTGAGTCAGACTGGACACAGAACCTCTGAGAACACAATACAAAGAGACATTTCTATCTTCAGTCTGGCCAAGCAAAACTTATTTATAGATGCAAAATAAGTTCATTTAAAGTTCAATCCATTTAAACTTTAAAATTTAAAGTTTAAATTAATATTTGGGGGGGGGGAGGGAAAGAGAAAACTTTCATTTTTGATAAATATTTACTGTAGCAAATTGTTGTAATTTCTATTTTTAGATTTTAAAACAAATAAAAATCTGAAAACCTTTGCAAAAAGAGGATGGGTAGATTTTCTTCCATCAGGTGTCGACGTAGCTAAATAAAAGCATATCGTTTCCAAGCTTGTGACAAGAAAACTAGATTTAAATAATGTAACTGATACTTCCAGTTTGAATGCAACTAAAACATGCATTTGTTTATTTAAAAGCATTACTTCATTTTTAGTCAGAGTTTTAATGAGCCACTGTGGAACACCCAAAGAGCCACTTGCGGCTCCAGAACCACAGGTTGCAGACCACTGCTCTAGACTTTGACTAGGACATTCTAACACATATTAACATGCTTTGATTTGAGTTACCCTGGTTGGATGTTTAGGGTCGATGAAGCTCTTCAAACCGGTTTTCTTCTCGGTTTTTACTGTATTTTAGCCCCATTCATTCCCACAGCCGTAAAAACGTCAGGAGTTTCATTTCAGACACTGCTTTGTGTTGGTCTATTCACATAAGACACACTGAAGTCGCTCAGATTTCTTCCAGTGATCTGAAACCTCCTCAGAGTCTAATTACCTCAGCAGTGGGAGGAGGGGGGGGGGTCATGAATCTGACCTTTCCTGCCGGTTGCAGATTGAGAGCCACAAGCTGAACTTCCGTGAGACGGCCAAGGCACGCACCGACCACGGCGCTGAGATCATCTCCCTGGAAGACTCGCCCCAGCAGCTCAGCACCGTGTCGTCCTCCGGCAGCATCAACATGACCGACTCCCCGCAGCTCTCCACGCTGGCCGACCAGGTGTCCGCCTCGCTGGCCAAGCAGGGCTTGTGAACGTGCCCCGTCCCGCCCCCGCTCCCGCTTCCTGCTCCACCTGCACCACACCACCACGTAGAGGAGTTGTATAATGCCTTCCTCATTACTTTCACTGGACTTTTTTTTAAAGATACCCATCACTGTTTGTCCTCCACTAACCTCTTAAATTTACTGAGGCGTTTCTTTTTAGTGAAGAACAAAAAAAGAAAAAGATCTGAATAGCAGGTAGGCCAAACTGTATTGATTTCTCTCTGCGGTCTTCTTGCAAAAATACTTACACCTTTTGTAGTAAATATTTTGGAGTTAAAGCATATAGCTGAGCAAAATTTCCCCAGCGAATCCGAGCGAATTGTTTCATCCCAATTGAAAAAAAATTACTTGGTTTCCTGTCACAGACTGTGAACCTTTACCAGTTTCCCTTCGATGGGTGTTCACTAATTTTTTTTTTTTTTTAGATACACAGAACATGAGCCTTGAGAGAGGAGGGCAAATCCAACTCTTTAGCTCCAGTTTGATATAAAGGAACAGTGACGGGCTCTGGTGAAGGTTTGGGAGGAAAAAATGTCAAAAGAAAAAGTAGCAAATGTCTTGTCTAGACAGAAAAATGTCTTGCAGACCTCTCTGCTTTCATTGCTTTGTGTCCCGACATGTGCTGCGCCTCCAGCTACAGTAGGTGACCGTGGTCGGTGGTGTGGCAAAAATAAGACTACTGAGGAGCAAAGGGAGACGCTGTCTGAGCTTTGAAGCTAAAAGGAAAAATTAAGTTCACCCACTGTCTGAACTTAGACGTTCATCCAGACATGTGACACCCATACCTCAGTTCACCAGTCAAAAGGATTCCTCAGCTTGTCTATACTCCTTCACAACGCGACATTACAGTAAATAAATTGATGGCTCGAGGCCTTAAGTGTAATTACATTTTGTGCATTTGGCGTTTTTACGATGTTTGCAGACTTGATGACTTTGGGAGTGCAGATAAACAGTTTATCACTGCAGCTATTACTATCTTTTGTCTTTGCAGCAGCCATTTTGAGTTTTGAAAACACAAGGTGTCAAATAAATGGAGAAATCCGAAACTCTTTTTATACAAAAGAGCATTGCAAACTTTAATTTTAGAATAGCGGGGGGAAAAGTCAGAATTCTGTCTTTAATCTCAGAGATTGACTACTACTTTCTAAAAAGGTTTGACAAAAAAAAAGTTTAGTTTTTTGTCCGTAAGCCTCTTCCGTATTTTGAAAAAGTAGCTGGAATTGTATGGCAGTGAACTATGTGATATTTTGGGACATAGAAGAAATATCCTGCCTACTTTATGATAAATTGGCTTGCCATTAATACTGAACACGTAATCTTACCATATTGACCCAAATGTTACATCGAGCAGACAGTTAAAATGAATATTTTAACTGAGCGAACTGCGGGTGACAACAACCTTTCTGCGTCTCATATTGTCAACACAAAATATCCTCAGTGGTTTTATTCCTGGCACACCATCTTCAACAAAGGCGACTGGAAAGTTTGCTGGACTTAAAAAAAAAAAAAAAAAAGAATGGCTAGGAAGTTTGGTTCGCGTTGGGCCAGTTTTATAATCGTATTCTGTGCATATATGACATGTATTTGATATGAACGGACATTTGTATTGTGCCTGCTACTGTCAGTGTTTCTCTTTTTCTTTTTTTTTTTTACTGCTCCTACTGTACGTGTGCTACAGCTTGATTTATGGGAAGAAAACCTTAATACAGGATTAAAGGGAGGGACTTTATTGTGTGCAGTATTTAAACCACAGTAAGCGCCAAAATAATCAGAACAAGGATAATTAGTAATTTAAAAAAGCTCAACGTAATAAGGAGCCCATAAAGGCTTTACTGGAAGTAACTTAAGGTATTATTTCAAACTCTTATGAAATGAAATTGGAAAAATAATCTGTTGTTGCCAAGTAGATGGGTGGAAGAAGGGATTTGTGTGTGCACTGCATCATTAAGGTAAGCAAAAACAAACTGTAAAGCAACAAGTTCACCTCTTCAGGCACTTTATCAATACCTCTGCACGTCGCCACTAACCAGGAAACGCACATCGTCTGCATCCTTTTAGATTCACATACACACACTTCAAGCACATTAAACCTTAAAACGGCTGATTTTATACATTTAAATGGACGTAAATCCTCAAAATGATTCACATTCCCAATGTTATTTAAACACCTATAAGGTTTCTGAAATTTAAACTCAAGACTAAGCTGGTAGTGGTTAACTAGGAAGAACATTTTGTTTTTAATTCCCTAAAAAAAAAACAAAAAAAAACAAAGGGCCAATTTTGGAGATAAAATGCTTAACTTTTGGTTTTGATTCATCAAATTAAATGTTAGTTTTGTCAAATGTTCCAATTGGTCTGCTAGAATTGCATCACCAGTGATCACAAAGACCTCCAATTCATAAGATGGAAAAATGTGGGTATATTTAAGCTCCAAAGATACATTTAAGGGTTTATGACGCCACAGAATAGTTTGATGCCAAGGCTCAGTTCTTCAGCTGCTGTTATTTTCTGCCAGGAAAACATCCTTTTAGACTCCCCAATTCTCCCGTGATCCATTTTGACACTAATGAAACATTCTTGCATGCTTTTAATGTAAGAGACAGCCGTCTGCTTGTTGCCTCCCTTTCACAGATTGGTCTCCTGGTGTACCCCATTTGTATCTGCTCCGGACTTTTTGGAAGGGCGTGCGACTAACAAGGATCAAAACTCAGCAGACGCGTAGAACTCCAAGGTGTGCTTGCAACATTATCTGCATGCTGACGTCTTTAGTTGCAGTAGACCACGTTCCGTCCCCAGAGATCAGGACAGAAACGAGGTGGAGGGGACGAGACCTGATCCCCCAGCGTGCCGTGAAGAGGTTCCTGCAGTAACAACACTCACCTTTTGTTTTGTTTTTGGTTACTTCTAACGCTGTACAGACGTGGAAATGTGATTGTTCTCATTATTGTGCATTGATCAGTAACTGGTTTATGATGATTCTTGTTGCTGTATATGTGTATTTGAAATAAACGCTGCAAAGTCACACTCGCATCTGAATGAACCTCGAATGAATGACCAAGACGGGAACAACGGTGCCAAGTTAAACATAAATGTTTTAATGGTACTATTTACAAGAAAGAAAACAATTCTGCTTTTTGATTAGGTTATAACTGCTGCAACAATCGAACAGGTACATTGACATCTTAACTACAAAAAAAAAGAAAAAAAGAAAAAGAACAATTGTGTACAAAGGAGGCGTAAAATGAAAACAACCATAGATTTTTTTTTCTTTTTTTGCATAGCAATTGGTTACGTAAAGTGGAGGAGGGATGAGGTGAGAGCATAATTACAAGGATGTGAAAGTGGGAAAAAAAAAAAAAAAATCTGGCTTTGAACTGATCATTCTGAGGAAAAGTGTCATTAAATTACTGTCCAGAAAGACCTGAGCTCGGGTGGCTTCTAATTGAGAGCTGCTACATTTTAAATGTTTAAAATCTTGTTAAGCTGAAACAGAAACCATAAAGGGGGGGGGGGGGGGGGGGGCACAGGGTAGTCGGTTTTATGCCTCCAAA